ATGTTTCCGAAGCGAAGCGAGGGCGGGTCGCTAGTATTTTATAAAGATTATGCCCTACCTTCATGCCGCAGCGCACATTCCTTTTTGGCAGAAATAAGTAGAATGGTTTTGCCTACCCCTGCGGGCTTACTATATGCCCCACTATTAATTAGCAAGTTTTCAAAAGTATAAGAAATTTTAAAATTTCAAAATTTCAAAATTTTCGGTCTGGTTTTTATTATACGATGTTATTCCTTTACTGTGGAAGTCGTTGGCGAACACGAGCTAATTACGTATAATATGTTCTTAGAAAAATTGTACATGCTTGCGGAATGCTAACACCGGCGGAATCGCATCGCTTAGTACGAGTAAACTGGGTGTCGTATTCTGTAGGTCACGACTACTGTGATTGGGCTTTGTTGTATTGGTTGACTATTGCAAAAATAAAACTGCCTTTTCGTTTAAATCTCGCGTTATATTATTATTTTTAGACTTTTCGTAAAGTTTCGTGAAGTCGTCGTGGCCTAATGAAGTCGTCGTGGCCTAACGGATAAGACGTCCGGTGCATTCGTGTTGAACGATGCACCGGTGTTCGAATCTCAGGCGGGTACCAATTTTTCTAATGAAATATCTGAAATATATAAATGAATGAATAAATATATATATAAATGAAGATCTCTGGAAACGCACTGTGGATGACCGCAGTGGCTCTAGGTAGTATGGATGAACTCTACTCCGGTGACGGGCGGTGCGATGGTTAAAAACGAGATGCTGGTATCATCTCGAACAATTCCTCAGAGCACTCCCCATGGAACATACGGTACAAAATACAGAGGGAACCGAAGTCCCTCCGCAGACCCAGAGGCTCCAAACGATCCGAGAGAATGGGATTATCGACAATCCGAACGGCCCTCCTCTGTATGGATTCAAATGGATGAAGCTGGTATTTGGGAGCCCCGGCCCAGAGATGGGAGCAGTACTCCATGCGAGGCCGGACTTGTGCTTTATAAAGCAAAAGTCTTTGTCCAGGCGTGAAGTACCGCTTCGCTCTGTTGAGGACTCCCAGAATTTTGGACGTCAACTTAGCTTTGCCTTCCAAATGACTCCGAAACTGGACATCGCTCGAAATGTCGACCCCCAAGTATCCCGATACTCTCGGAAGGTTGCAGGGATACTCCTTGGAATTGCGGCGCCATGACAAAGGGGTCCTTCTTCGTAGTGAACGCGCAAACTTGTGTCTTTATCTTTTTTGAACTTGGTTCAATTCACCCCATTCGGAGACTCGCCCCAGAGAGTTCTCCACTTCAGACACAAGTTTTGATCGTCTCTCTTGCACCACGCTCCGAGAGAGACTCTGATGGCCGATATATCGCGCATCCCCCGTGCTGTCATATGCATAGCAATGCATGCCATCAATAGACAGCATGACATTGATATACAGGATGAAAAGCGTGGGGGAGAGCACCGAACCTTGTGGAACGCCAGCGTTAATGGTCATGGTATCAGAACAGTCACCGTCTACAACGACCGTGATGCTCCGCCCATCCAAAAAGCTAGCGATCCACTTGCAGAGACCCTCGGGGATTCCGTAAGATGGTAACTTCGATAGAAGTGCCCTATGCCAGACCCTGTCGAAGGCCTTCGCGATATCAAGGCTCACAGCAAGAGCCTCGCCCTTGCTCTCCAAGGCTTCAGCCCACCTGTGAGTAAGGTATACAAGAAGATCGCCAGCTGAGCGACCGTGACGGAAACCGTACTGTCGGTCACTGATCAGCTGGCGATCTTCAAGATACTTCAGGAGTTGTGTATTTATAATTCGCTCCATCACCTTGGAAAGCAAGGAAGTTATCGCGATAGGCCTGTAGCTCGATGGGTCCGACCGGTCACCCTTCTTGGGGATAGGGTGGACGTGGGCGGTCTTCCATGAAGACGGAACCCTGTTAGTGCAATAAGAGAGGCGATACAAACGCGTTAGCGCAGGTGTCAGCTCAGGGGCGCACGTTTTCAAAACCACTGCGGGGATGCCGTCTGGCCCACTCGACTTATGGACGTCCAGGAGTCGGAGCTCCCGCCTGACTGCACACTGTGTGAAGCAGATATCCGGCAGGGAGCTATCACACCGGGGGATGTTCGGTGGTGTGGCACCCCCGTCGTCCACAGTCGAGTTCGAGGCGAAGAGTTTGACCAGAAGGTCAGCCTTCTCTTTCGCGCTGTGGGCCAGATTGTCATCGGACTTGCGCAGTGGTGGGAGACTAGACCTGCAAAAGTTTCCTTCTGCAGCTTTGGCGAGCGACCAAAAAGCACGGCTCCCGGAGGGATAGCTCTTCAATCGCTCGCCAACTCTAGCAACGTGCTCCGACTTCGCCTTGGCAATTACCTTCTTGTAGGACCTGGAAGCGGCGTTATATTTCCGCCTTTCCCCTGAGATGTTAGGATCCCGACGTCTCCTGGCATTATCCCATGCCACGTATGCGGACCGCTTGAGGTGTGCAGCATCCCTGCTGGCATTGTTATACCAGGGTCTGCTGCGACCCCCAACGGGCACTTCAGAGGAGGGAATAAACAATTCCATCCCCTGGAGCACCACGTCTTTAAGACGGTCCGCACAGACGTCAGGATCAGCAGAGGAAAAGCAGAACCGCCCCCATGGGTAGGATGCGTAAAATTCACGCAATCCATCCCAATCTGCTGACATATACCGCCAAACTCTTCGATACCCGGTCGTCGTTCGACGATCAGGACGAGAGAGTGGTACGGCAGCACGAATAAGGCAGTGATCAGACGATCCAAGCGGAGCGTCGACCACCACACTGTATCCGGCCGGATCTGTGGTCAGCAGAAGGTCCAACAAAGAAGGCTCGTGCCCCTCGATATCTGGGACACGGGTGGGCTGTGTCACCAGCTGGGAGAAGCCGTAGGCCAAGGCGAAATCGTAGGCAGTCCGACCCGGGAGGTCAGTGGTTCTGGACCCCAACCACTCTTGGTGGTGAGCGTTAAAGTCTCCAAGAACCACCACCTCCGCAGATGGGTACTGCTCAAGCACGCGGTTAGTCCCCTCTTGCACATGCTCAAACAGAGCTGAACCTGCATCACTGCTGTGGGACCTGTACAGGCACGCGTAGATTCGGCTACGTACTCAACAAATGTTCACGATTGATTTCTACGGTGAAGGAATAACATCGTGTAATAAAACTGAAATCAGCAAAATTATAATTCGCGTAATTACTGGTGGTAGGACGTCTTGTGAGTCCACGCGGGTGGGTACCACCACCCTGCCTATTTCTGCCGTGAAGCAGTAATGCGTTTCGGTTTGAAAGGTGGGGCAGCTGTTGTAACTATACTTGAGACCTTAGAGCTTATATCTCAAGGTGGGTGACGCATTTACGTTGTGGATGTCTATGGGCTCCAGTAACCACTTAACACCAGGTGGGCTGTGAGCTCATCCACCCATCTAAGCGATAAATAATAAAAAGTTTTCTTTGTTACGGGCAAGCAGTGAGATTAAACCGTAAAAATAGTTTGAATTATTTATACGACTAGCGAAAAAGAAGAAACTACCACATAATAAATAGTCAGTAAACATGTCCGACTAGTTTTGCTCCGTGGCATGTCCCGGTATAAGAAGTAGCCAGTGTCAGTCTATAAATCATAAATTGAACAAGCGGAAATCATATAGCATTATAATTTTATTCAATATATTATTATATTTTATTTTTTGGGATTGATATGTATAGTTAGCGGTACAGCACAATAACTACGAATAAATAAGGATGTAACTAGAGTTATGACTTCCATCAAAAGCTGCAATATTATCTTTTAATTTGTTTTTGTGGGCAAATACATTGTAAGCGAAGTAGGATTTTTAGGACGGGCCTTGGCAGTGTCCAATCCATGTAATCAATGTAATCCAATTACTGACGTATATCAGCGACGGTGAATATTCAACCTCAGGTGGGCGTATGCTCGTCTTTTTACAGTAATAATAAAATAATGTCCATGCCATCGCCGCTATAAGAACGCATTCGAGAAAAATAAGGAACTCATAATACACATTCCGCTTAATGCTACGGTTAGGGAACCCTAAAATATATTGCGGCTTGCTTGTCATCCGTCATCTGGTTGTACTTTCGCAATACGCGTGTAGAGCAATTTGCACGTTGTCTTCTTGGGTCTCCCTCGCCGGTCCCCAAGTCCGCATACGGAGGGCACCAAAAACACAAAGGCAAGTATACGAGTGAGATCCTTATCCCAAACCCCGGCTCGATGGCGACGGGTTTGCAGCAAGGAGAGACGGGCGCTCTCTCTCATGCCCCGCCACCTGCTTCTGCAAGATGTTACACACGCAGAAGTCGAGTATTGCACGCCCGACTTATTGCTGTCCGAGCATCGCACATACGATGCCCGAGAGCGCGACGTGACGAGAACACGCGTACGTTCCGTCGTGTCCAAGTCGCATCCATAGTATGGGGCTCGGCCATCGGATCAGCTACGATCCGGTGCAAGTACTTCCCGAAGCAACTGCACCAGCCGGAAGGTGAGCAGTCCGCGGTCGTAATTCACCCCAGTCCCCCAAGAGAAGTCGGATCGCTTCAACGGTCCGATACCGGCCGAACGAACTAAAGGGGTTTAACTATACCAAAGGTGGGGTAACAGCAGTTCATTCGTGGAAATTACTGAAAAATTCAATAATTTCCACTAAGACTGTCTACATATTAATCCAACGTTAAATCTAATTAGTTTTTGTGGTGTACATTTAAATTTGCATCGGTTTGTCGATACGTGAAGTAGATCATTCTAATGACCAAAGTTCCATTGTCGATAAATATAATACATTCAAATGAATTTAAGATAGCTGATTGCAATGGATGCGTTTTCGTGAGTGAGTTCATCCCAAAAAAGTGGAAGGAAGCTTTGTCTTAGAAGAGCCTACAATTTCACAATGTATTCCCTGATTCAATTAGTTAATATGTACTTATCATAAAAAAAGATATATAAATACATTTGTGTTGTATAATATTTAGATCGAGAAAAACGATCAAGTTCACGGTCAGAGAGAAGAGAGTCGGAAAAAACAAGTAAACGTATTAACAATGCTTCAGATAGATATTGGAACAGCAGCCGAGATGAAGAACATCATGATCGTAGCAGACCAAAACATTCAGCTTCTACACACGATTGTAAAGGTATGTGATAATGTTAACCACATACGGAGTTGAGAGCTGATACATTTTTTTAAATCAATTTACAACAAATTTTGTAAATAAAATGACAAATACGCTTACAGATCTAACTCAAATATATCAATTTTATTTATGACGCTTTCGATTCATGACTGCTGTATATTTTGAAATTAATATTAATAATGGTTGACAATGTGAATAACATTATGTTTGGAGAGATATTCTGTAAATAATTTTATAGTTGTAATGCATTATCATTGTTAGTATTATAAATCTCGACTGCTGAACTTATAGCCAAGGTTCGGTACAATGAGTGTTCCTGCGCTATTTGCATACATTGGATCCACGCGACGAAGTCCCGTTGCTTCACCTTATTGAGAGGTTTAAGCATACCGCGCCCTCTATGAGGCGCCGCTTAATAACTCTGACTCTGTTGACATGTGATTTAACCATGTGTTATATGAGTAATCTGTCCTGCCAACTGCTACTTCAATCTCGCTATCATTCCAGCTATGTAGTTTTTTTATCATAGTTCGTCTGCGGATCTCTGGTTTTTGATTAATTGCTTGTATATTAAAAGTCACTTAACTAAATTTAGCTTATTGTAATGACGTTAAATTTGTATTTTTTTTTTCATAACTAAATATTTGTATAGATGGGCAATCACTACAAGACATGGATATTTCGCCAGACAGAAGTACACCTTTATCTGAGAATTCATATGGCGGAAGAGAAACACTAGATAGAGGACGGAGTAACTGTGAAAGTAATGCAGTTCCCCCCGTTGTCGTTCTTGACAATTCTAATCAACCTGTGAGTATTTTAAATTCTAATATGATGATGACAATAAAGACGAAATTTTAGGTTATCTTCTTTACGCGCAATAATATAAAAAAGTGCAAAATAGACACATGTCTAGAGTTTTTTTAAATTAACGGTCCACCTGATCGCGTTTATTCGAATAATATTTCAAACTCTACTCTTTCCTGATAAAATGTATAATTACATGAATTCCTGAACTTTCTGAAATACAAAGAGATGATAATGAACCATATATAATATCAATATATCGGACTTTACCAATTAATCGATTATTCAAACAACATTATGTCCACAACAGGCATGTAATAACAGCGTCTTAGTCAGATAGAGCACACTTTTAGTTATAGTTTCGTGTCGTAATGAGTCGAATTATTATTGTGTCTTGTCATTAAGCAATTAGTTGCTTTCATTATGTTCGGACAGTAAATAGATAAGTAATAAAACCAAGGCACTGAAGTACGAAATAAGAAGTGATTAATGTCGTATTCATGAGTATTATTAAATATAAACATAATAACATTTTTAGTGCTAATGTAAATGTAAAATTTCAATTTCATTTAAGCAAAAGAAATTAGGTTGTGATATCCGCACTAATACTGTACAAAATTAAATCAGTGATATTTTGTTAGTACGTTCTAGAATTTACTGTAACAATAATAAAATATGACGATTGCTTAAAATAGGAACACATATTTAAACGCCACTTATATGTAAATATGTAGTGCTGTTGTTACATATGCAGCTCGGGATAAAATTATGAAATCAGTTCAAATCCTAAATAATTCGTCACGAAAATATATCTCACTAATACACTGGGTTGCACTCTTAATTTTCGCTTTGATATTTTTCTCGCTTTACGCTGTTACCTTTATACGTCTATGATGTCCCGCTCGTTCGTTCCATACGCACCGTAGATAGGTTTATGGATAACGAGTTCTGGAACGTCTGGAACCTTCCAGAATTTTCGTGCGGTACGATCTCAAGTAAGATCTCGATCGTTGTGTACCGTTCTGTGTCATTCGTCTTTCCTATACTAGATGGCGTTAGCTGTTATTATTGTTGTCTATTTGTGGTTTCCTTGTCAGAACCGCTGTTGACCAAGAAATACTCGCCGTCCCCAGGTGCGGTTAACAGAATTATACATATTAGAAAGTATACATTCATGTCAACTACAACAAGATCGAACTTTCAACTCATAATTTTTATATTTCGTTAGTCTAGTGTTATATTAGTTTCTACAACTGACTAACGGAATTCGGTTTTGATTCTCACTCGATTAGCTCCCGGTACTCATAACACAAGAGAATAATCTCAGTTTATATTAATAATAAAATTATAATCGTATAAATAGTAATAATAAGTTATACAGCACACTTTTTTATAAGCTTGGCAAATTTATTATGATTTTAGAAGAACAAGTATTTAGATCATACGTGGAAAATCGGTTTTTCTATAAAAATAAATTACTTTATAGAGTGGTTCATTGCTTGCGGCGGCATTACCCCGCATCGTGGCCGCACCACCCGCTGTGACGGTACCGCAAGCTAACAACGGAGGCTCCTCGTCTCCAATCAGAGACGGCGCAGACACACCGCAAAGGGACGCGGGTCCGCCGACGCCCACGCACTCTGAGAACACAGATCCACACGCCCCTCCTTTACACCTTGACCAGGCACTACCAAGAAAGAGTAAGTAAAAGTAAAGAGTAAGTAGTCGTGGCCTAAAGGATAAGACGTCCGGTGCATTCGTATGTAGCGATGTACCGGTGTTCGAATCCCGCCTGCGGGTACCAATTTTTCTAATGTAATACGTACTTAACAAATGTTCACGATTGACTTCCATGGTGAAGGAATAACATCGTGTAATAAAAATTAAAAAAAAAACCCGCAAAATTATAATTTGCGTAATTACTGGTGGTAGGCCCTCTTGTGAGTCCGCACGGGTAGGTACCACCACCCTGCCTATTTCTGCCGTAATGCGTTTCTGTTTTGAAGGGTGGGGCAGCCGTTGTAACTATACTGAGACCTTAGAACCTTTATCTCAAGGTGGGTGGTGGCATTTACGTTGTAGGTGTCTATAGGTTTCGGTAACCACTTAACACCAGGTGGGCTGTGAGCCCGTTCACCCATCTAAGCAATAAAAAATAAATAAATAAAAGGTTACTCAATCAAACCAAACACTGTTTATGTTCTAGTAACTTATTGCTCAATTTATCACGAATATAATAAATGACAGAATGCTAATTTACGACGTAACTGCCGAACGTAATTCACGCAAAATGAATTTAAAATGAGTACTAAAACTAAAATAAAAATACTAGTTTTGGTTTTGCAAACAACTAACTAAACTTTGTATGAATCTGTGCATTGATTTCAGATTCATCAGATTGATTTCAACTGTACGTTTCGATGAAATCCACCTTTACGTCTGTTGCCTACAAAAAAACATTAGATTTTGTGATATTGGAAACGATCTGCCAAAAATCCTAGTCTTCGATACAATTTCGAAATTAGAACAAATCTTGTCTGCACCTCTACGGTAACATGATGACGTGATGACTTTCTGTGTTTCAGTGGAATGTCTGGGAAGCTATTCATCAGTTGTCGGCGGCACGCTACAGCACGCACCGCCTATGTTGACGCCTTCACTTGTGAATTACGTCCGGTCTGATTTAACATCGCATGTTACCGGTTGGCCAGCCGATATACTCGAAAAACAGGTTTGTCATCTTTCTTGTGCTACTTGTTTAAGAGTTTAAAGCTTTTATTTATTTTCTAGTTCCCATCCTATGAGCAACATGCCGCCATTTAGCGAATTAATTTAATTGCTAAAATCTATTGTTTTGCTTAACGAATGTTGATATATATGTATATATACCTAGTCAGGTCATAAATTCTGTCACATGTTTAATGTAAAATAATTGAAACAAGTTTATTCATTATGTAACCATTCATATACCAAAATGAATTTAACAAAACATAGATTCTTATGACACTAAAGTTTATTCAAAATGACCTCCGTGATTTTGAATACAGGCCTTCAATCTGCGCGGCCAGTCGTCTATCGCAGCACGAACGAGGTCCATGTCAATATCGGCGGCTGCCTTAATCAAGGATGTCTTGAGTGACTCCAAATTGGGATGAGGCTTTGAGCACGCCTTTTCCTCCAAGTGTTGCCATATCTTGTAATCTAACGGATTCAAATCTGGACTGGAGGAGGGCCAGTCTTCGTGCCGGATGAAGTCGATTTCACGCGCCGCCAGCCAGTCTTGTGTGCTCTTCGCTCTATGAGCTGGCGCCGAATCTTGTTGGAATACCCAGTGCCTGTTATTGAACATGGTATGAGAAACAGGTTCCACAAGGTTCGTCAGGACTGTATTTTGATACACAACTGCATTCGTTTTTACACCTTTCTCACAAAAATGTACCTCTGTTAAGCCCCAATAAGAAACTCCCAACCATACCATGAGCGAGGATGGAAAATGACCTCGTTGGACACGCGGAATACGGTTGCTCGCTTCTTCACTACTGTGTGCGTACACCTTATCATTTTGTTTGTTGTAGCTCTCTTCTACGGTAAAAATTTTTTCATCCGAAAAAAGAATTTCCCGATATTTTTTTCCCGCGTACCGCTTCAACAAAGCGCGGCATCTCTTCAGTCTCAGGTCCATTAGACGAGCATTCAAACGATGTCCTGTTTTTCTTCGATATGCCCGAAGCCCTAAGTCTTCATTTAACACCCTTTTCACCGTGGTTCTGCTTAACCCCATCTGAAGGGCCAACAGTTTCTGCTTACGTTTGGGATTTCTTTGAATTCGCGCCTTCACAGCTTTTATCACTGCTGGAGTCCTAACAGACCGAGGGCGACCACTTCTTGACCTGTCATCTACACTAGAGTCTTCATTGTATCGTTTGATGGTACGATAAACGAATCTTTTGGTTATATTCAAATTTTTCAGTATGTAAAAATTTGAATTGGCGCGTAACCGCAACGATGCAACGCAATAACTGCAACACGGTCTTCTTTAAGCGTCCACTCCATATTTAAAAATGAGTAAAATTCTAAAAATATACATTTTTATTTTCATGAACAATTCGAAATTCGAATTCAATAAACTTTTTTGTGGCCAGTATTCTAAAAGAAAAGTTTTTACTGTGTGACAAAACTTATGACCTGACTAGTTATATATAAATCTACAGTGGTTTTTACGGATGTTCCGTTATAACTACTGAACCATGCTTCCGATTGACTTGAAACTTGGTATCCATGTAGAAAATACATGTACTTACCATTAAGTATCCATATAGGCTAATATTTATATGAGTGTTGGACTCCCTAATAATAATGACAATAAATAATAATGTTAATTTTAAATGCCCAGCGAAGCGGGCGAGTACGGCTAGAATACTTATAAGCTTAAAATATATATCCTAGTTTCAAAATGTGCTTATATTGAAAGTTTATACTAAATTAAATCAATGAATTGTTTGCCAGACACTCAACTTACTCTAAAACATAATTTGATATTAATTGAAGACATAATGGAATCTTACCAAAGAAAAGGATTTTTTTTGTGTATTCCTTAATTTTACTATCGTGTTAAAATAATTCGTATTGGTTCGGTATAATACTTTAACGTATATACCATCAAAATATAGCGGCGTTAAAAAAAGAGTAGTTGTTAATTGTTCTATTAATTTTATTATGACTTTAACAATTTTTATTTGTTGATACTAAAACAATACATATGACACTGATAATTTACTACGGAGTAAACTAACCTATAGTCACAGCCCACTAAGTTTCTCGGCGGATCTTCTCAAGGGGTCGCGATTCCGATCCGGTAGTAGATGCATTCGCGAAGCGTCGAACCCGTCGCTTGCGACGAAGAGCTCGACGAGAAAATTAACCCTTAGACACAGCCCACTGAGTTTATCGCCGGATCTTCTTAGTGGGTCGCGTATCCGATAAGGTGATAGATTCTGCGAAATGCTGCTTTTGCTAGGGCAGATATTTTTTATTATTTTTTATTGCTTGGATGGGTGGACGAGCTCACAGCCCACCTGGTATTAAGTGGTTACTCGAGCCCATAGACATGTTAGAAAATTCTCTCAGGTCGAGCCCGTGAGCTCACCTATCCGTCCAGGCGTAGCTAGAATAGCCCCTTTGGCTATCAGCGAATAGGTTGGAAAAAAAATCGACATTTCCGTGTGTCACAGGATTATTTTCCAAATAATCTGAGTAAGTCGGTTAAGGCGGATTTTATTCAGTTTCTTGCTTTGCCATAAAATAAAAATCTATTAAATATCATAGTATAAGTAGGCCAAATGATAAAGAAGTAATGAGGAAAAGTAAAGATCTTATTTATCACAAATTACAAATCACTGTTAGTATGTAGTGTTTTATTGTTTTGTTAACGTGCTTGTGTGTCCTACTTTTGCTGTGCTTATTATATTATTATTTGTAAAATATGTACTATGAATAAATAGGGTAAACAGTAAACAAGGTTATCCAAATGAAAAATAGAAGTTGTTATTGTTATTGCTTTACATTTTGTTCTGGTGATGATTTATAATCAGGATACTAAATTCCCTTGACCTTTATATTACATACACATATTAAACATTATTACATTTCTAGATTATACAATAAAATAGGGTAGGTACATACATTTTAGCCTGATTATATTAGACTCGTACTTTTCTTTTGTGTTTTTCAGGAAACTATATTTTCAGACCGGTGTAGTGTAGTCTAAACTATATCATCTTCGGATCTGCTTCAATACTTTGGTTGAAATGTAATACAGTTCTTTTTCGTGCATGCTCAAAAGTTAATATGTTTTGTAGACTTGAATGATTTTTAATTTCACACGTGTCAATAGGACAAGAAATACGTTTCGAACGCTCCATTTAATATATCACTATCATCTCGACCTTTTTATATTTTTGCTATTTAGTATAAAAAAAATACTCTTCACATCTCGTTGGTTTGCAAGAATACCGCCAATATAGGTCAGAACTATTTGATATTGAATCAGATATAGAACATGATAAGACAATTTTTAACATGAATAGTGAATGAACATAGATTTCGTTTGCTTTGAAAACATTTGATGTAAGTTAGAATGCAGTCGTTATTTAATTGAGACAGAATACGTTATGATATTATCAAACACTCACTCGGTCGCGCTGTCGACAACGTTGCTCACAGACTGAACGCGCAGTTGACTCCTGTAAAGGTAGAAGTTTCTAAGACTTCTGCTGCCGTAATTTTTTAAGAAGAATATTGAAGCAAATTTCGTCGTTCGTCCCTTTTTTTTATTCCCTATGTTCGCTTACGGCTGCGGTCTTGAATAAACAAGATTGTTTTGTAATATATAAACATTATTAAATATTGTCAACTAATTTTAAAATGAAATTTATCATTGAAAAGAAAAACGGTCCGACTAGAGAATTTATTTGGCGACATGTGTGATTGATTTGCATAAATAAAATCTAAATGTTTTTATTTGTTTTAATGCTACGATAATTTCATCGATCTGATCTCATATCGTTTCATTCCATTCGTATGTTATCACATAATCATATTTAGTATTCAAGTAAGTTAAAGTAAATGAAGATTTCGCTAGGAGGACTAATCTTGCATCATTGACCAGTAATAATAAAAATGTGTTCGCTTACACAGTTAATCAGTCAGCATCAGCGACAAACCATATGTTTGTAAATTTTACCCATAGCTACTTAATTAATACTTAATTTTCAAATATGTTCCTCATATAATTTGACTATAAAACTATAGTTCTTTGATCAAAATTAACCAAAATAATTTGCTATAAACAATAAACATTTGCAATGTGTAATGAGTGTTTGTTCTTTAGGCGAACAAGTTTACGGAGGAAGCGTATCAACTAGGCTGCTTGCAATGTACGCGGGTGTCATCTGAACTCAAATGTGCTCGGTCTCTTGTACGTCACACCGAAATACAAGCCACACTTCAGGAGCAAAAGTGAGTTTATCATTTAAGTCTTCACTAAAAAAAATGTATTTTATTTATTGATTTATTTATTTACTTATTTATTCATTTATTACACTTTATGTAAAATTTGCATTGGCGGACTTGATGCTTAAGGTATTTTCTATCAGTCAACGAAAGGTAGTGTAGAGTTAATAGGTGTAATGAAATTTATATTAAATTACAAATACACAGAAATATACACATATATACACAAACACATACATACATACATATAATTTATCTATATGTTTAATATGTGAAGCAAAAATTTTTTACCCGTTTTTACGAACGGATGCACGGAGGAGTATGAAATTTCCCACATACGAGGGCGGCACTGAAAATTTCGGGAATTAACGAAGTGACACAACATTACTATTTAAAAATGTATTTGTTGCTTTTCGAAGTATTCTCCGCGAAATTTGACACATTTTTCCATATGATGGAACCAATCATTGAAGCAACCATTCCATTCGGAAGTTGGGGTCTCCAAAATGGCCGTTTTGTAGGCGTCCACAGCTTCTTCAGGTGATGAAAATCTCTGTCCACGCAATTTATTCTTTATTTTAGGGAAATTATAGAAATCATTAGGGCTTAAGTCGGGGCTGTACGGCGGATGGTCTAATAATTCTATGTTTTCTTGCTCTAAAAACTATTTTGTTCTGTGCGCGGTGTGAGAACTCGCATTGTCGTGATGGAGGATGATGCGGCGGTTGCAGTTCTCTTTACGGAGTTCAGAAACGACCTGTGGCAAACAAATGCTAGCATACCATTCTGCATTAACCGTTCTTTGTCCCTCAAGAGGAATAGTCGTAACATGGCCGGTTTTGGAGACAAACGTGGCCACCATTTTTTTTGCAACACTCCGTGAACGAACAATTTTTGTTGGCTTTAACTCATTTTCGAACACCCAAACTCGTGACTGGTTTTTTGTTTCGGGTTCGTACGCGTATATCCAGGATTCGTCACCTGATACAATGTTGTATACAGCATTTGAGGATCCTGCGTGGAATCTTTCGAGAGTTCTGACGCACCAAGTAACGCGAGCCGCTTTTTGCTCTTCACAGAGCGAATGCGGTATCCATCGGGAAAACAACTTTTTTACACCTAATTGTTCATGCAAGATTATTTGTATTTGACTCATGCCAATGTCTAAAGTTGCCTGAATTTCGCGGTATGTCACATGTCGATCTTCCTCAATCAGCTTACGCACAGCATCAACGTTTTCTTGGGTGACTGCAGTTTTTGGACGACCTTGACGGGGATCATCACTGAGCTTGACACGTCCACGTTGAAACTCAGCAAACCAGCGATAAATTGTGGTTTTGGATGGGGCTTCATCACCAAATGCAGAAATCATCCGGTCAACACACTGTTTTTGTGTTAAACCACTTCGAAAGTCATAATAAATCATCGCTCTTGAATTTTCTCGAGTCAATTCCATTTTCTCAACGACTAAACAAGTTTGACAAAACCTCGTGACAAGACCGAGAATATTTTTTAAAATAAATAAATGATATTCGATTTTAAAACCAAGGAGTTTTCAATTAAATAGATTTTAATATGACAGGAACAGTGGAAATATTCCATTCCCGATACTTTTAGTGCAGCCTAGTATAAAGAGAATATAGAGAAGGAGTGCAGAATGTAATTTTTTTTTTTAAATTATACATAAAAATACATTAAACCAATAAAACAAACCATAACACACACTACCATGTATTTTGCACACACACGCATGCATACTATTTGTTGATTGTCAAACTTTTCTTATTGCTTGTAGTCTGTGGTCAAATTAGATTAAATATTGTTTGTCTTTATTAATATTTACCTAAAGTTTAGTCTTGGCGAAATCGGTGATTATTATAGAAATATATATATGTCTTTGACAATAGAATCATAATAGTGTACAAACTTATAAGTTTAATTAACTATAGTCCAATTTCGACTACCACTGACTACCACTACTAGTACAGTGTTAAAAACAAAAATATGAGTTTGTTATTATTGTGTTTTTTTTTCTTTTCGACAGGATTATGTACCTGAGGCAACAGATCTCACGATTGGAGGAGTTAAAGTCGCAAAATTCATTCATGTCGGACGACTAGGAATCGTGCTGGGGGCTGGCGTGTGCCACCCCCCTACTTGTTGCACTGCCGCTTATTATTGCGCGCTACATTTCCCAATTTAATGAGAGATCTCTCGCACGTCAATATAAAAACATTGTTCATTCCGTTCTTTTCTATGTAATTTAGATCAAATTTATTACTGTTGTTGTGTTGTGTGATTTGATGTGAAATAAGCAGTTCTCACCGTGGGTTTTGTCACTTTGAAATTGTATGCTACGTTTACATAACTAATTAGGTTATAATAATGACAAAATGTTCTTGTTGGACATACAGCAGAAAAAATATCAATAAAATAATAATTTAGTTGGATTACGGTGGTAAGAAAGCTACAAAATAACGCGGCGCGAGTCCTGCTTTGAAACCCCAAAGTTTCATTCATAAAAAATTTTAATAATAAATATTTTGTACATTTACTAATTGTCTGTATGTTTCAGTAATATCTTTCTGTTTTACTTTAATGTTAAATTTTTCATACAAATGGAATATTTTAAGGTTTTTTTTTTTTTTCTAATTTTATTATATTATGTGCAGTCAATTTAGTGATTATGATTATCAGTGTAAGAATACAGTGTTTGTTTGTTTTCTGTAAAATGTTAAATTATTGAAACTGGATTTCGATACGTTTGTAACCGTCGGGTCCATGAAAGGTTCACCAAGCTTACATGAATGTAGTCGATGTTGAATATTATTGCTGTTCACTTGTGTAGGTGTAAACGAAATGTAATGGGGTGCCATTGCTGACCCATATCCCTACTTAACTTGTAATACCTACAAAGATAGTGCTAATCAAATTAATCTTTTTTGTTTAGAATTAGTTTGACAATACGAAAATATGTAAAACTTGAAGACGTTGCGATTGTAAACGGAACTAAGATTTATAAACTTATTTTAAAAATGGCTCTTAATGTGAATTTTTCAAATAATTTTAAGATAATGTTATATTATGTTGTATTATAAACGTGCTGCGAATTTATTTATGATTGGATGAATGTTTTAAAAATTATACATTTTATTTGATCAATGGATGAACTCGACTTACTGGAGGAACATAATATGCTTTTAAATTTATAATTTTGTGAAATGTGTCATTGCAAATATTCATTTTGACCAACCGTTGTATAAAAATAATAATAAAAAAAAAATCTGGTATTTTGTAATAACATAATAAATAATACTTAGACTTATTGTATTCGTGTAGTAAATTAGTTGATTTTCTATAAAGTGAAAAAACATGAAATATTTTTCTGAATAATTTTGAAATGCTTGTGATTGTATGTATGCATTCGATTCAATAACAAATCTTCGTTCACTTACACGGTAATTTTAGAAATTGTTAATTAGGTGAATTGAACTCCGGTCTAGGTCTTTTATTTTTGTAATAATGTAAGAACTTTAAGAATTGAATTGCTATGTTTTGTCAGGCTGTATAATGCGTCAGAATAACAGAAGTACTGTGATATTCATTCACCTTCACTCTATTAGTTAGATAATATTGATGTAGACCTGTGTGGAGTTCTGTGTGAGTGTTTAGAGCCAGCTATATACAGTCAAATAATTTGTATTATAAATGTTATTATATAAATTATAAATGTAATAAATATGATAGGGTCATGATAACACATGTGTTTCGCTGTCATAGGCTGGCAAGTTCGTTCGTGACTTCGTCTTTCGAAGATTGTAGCGATTTTTAGGACTTACGCGGAAGTTTCTGACAAAATACCACCGACGTAAAACAGATGGCACACTCAAGTCGCTTTAACAAGCTTAGTGAACTTCATGTAATTTAGCGATAACGATACTGAAAGTTTGAATTAGTACCTAGTTTAAAAATACATATCTTTCTTGGCAAATACTGACGTGCAATTTTCGATAAAGCTGTAATAGCCTGTGGCACAGCATATTTTTCCTAAATTGTGGGTAGGTTTATGTTTAGATTTCCATACAATTTTTTCACAAGCCTGAGTACACCACTTGTGTATTTGTGATTGTAGGCACGGCGTTCTCTCATCTCTGATACAGTTGAAACACACCTAAGGGAAATTCTCCAAACACACCTGGGCTCTGAGGAAACTGAAGATTTTCCATTGTACAGTTTCCTGGAATTAACGTGTCATAGAATAGGGATCTGACGTGCAACTCTTAACATTGTAAATTTGAGGCCGTCAGCGCAAAAGTGGCCTAAGCTTACTATAGTCATTATGGAGCAATGGAGGTTTAAGTTTTCATGAATTTGAATTTGAGTAGGCAAAAAAATATGTGCAAGAATAATGTTTACAAAGCCATTACAAATTCATCTATGGGTGAAACTATTGACATGTTTTGCATCAATATTTATTATATATTAAATAAATTGCAATATACATATAAGCATGATTATGAAAATTTTTGGGTTAGGCCACTTTTGCGCTGACGGCCTGATTTCATTTTCGCACCGTATCAAGTTAGAATTGCTCGCGTTCATACTTTTCGAAATATATCGGACATCACGACTCGTCGCTCATTAGGGATGTGTCAAGAACGAACTTGACGTCTACAGTAAATTATTATAAAGTTTTATCCAAGGGGTCATCGTAAGTGCATGACTTCGATTATTTACTGGGGACCTGATAAGTATCTGTCAGTACGTTACATAATTAAAATGTATTATGAGAATAGACTGCGGTCATCTCCACACAGGACTCTTTACGATGATTCCATTGCGTCGTAATTGTAATTTCATGAATCAACTTTTGTCATTGTACGAGGTATGACGTTTTAGCAGATTATTAAATAAATCAGTTTCAGACCAAGTGTATTTTAGTATTTATTGTAATTATTCGAACTGGTTTAAGGTTTTATTTTAGTAAAGTTTTTAATAAGAGTGTTTTAGATAATTAATGGTTATTGTGCAAAGTTAAATTAGATTTAGTTGTAACAGAATGTAATAGGTTCATTAAAAAATGAAATTATCGAAATCCTTACAAACTCTTCAAATTTAACGATCGCTAATCAACATCAAGCAATGCTGCATTAGCTAGTTAGTAGCTATTAGTTCTCCACTTAGCTATGGTTATTTTTTCATTCAGTTTTGTTTTATAAATAATGTATGTAAAGTATACGTACTGTTTCGAGTGTGCGATAACTTGAGGACCCAGCAGGTCGGCATTAGTATGTAGAATGGTGAGGAGTGAGTCTGCACGTATCGGAGAGGCGTTGAGAAAGGTGTTTACTTCACAAAACTTCTTGTTTATATTTTTTCTTCGTTATTCATATTGCAAACTATAGAACAAAGCTGGATGTTGATTAGTATCCCTGAGAAACAATGTGGATACCTTACCTCACGACTGAACAATAATTAGGAAGTTTCCACTTTCCGAAATAATGAAAACTTATTACGGAGGACTTCACTCCAATTTCTTTGCACAATGATCCTTTGCACTCACATTTGAATTCGAATTACCGGCGATGTAACTCAAATGAGTCTAATAATATAATTTGCCTAGCTTCCTATTTATTTAATTTGATATTCCAATAAATGATTGTAATTTCAATGGATCTATAAAAACAATGCAAATTTATTTAAATTTCACAATAAAAATAAATAAATATCAAAAACATTATCTTTTCAGAAATTAAAAAAAGTACAATACATACACAAAGTAAACGAATGGACTTTTTTGGGCTGCCAAAATTGTGTGAAGTTAAAAGTTTGTAAATATCGAACAATATAATTTATGAGAATAAAAAACCAAAAAAATATTTAATTTGTTTTAGCAAGCAACAGGATTATCTGCTATCAAATTTGGTTAAACAAAATTTTATATACCTGGACTATTTACAATTGCAGTAAAAACTTCACAATCATATTATCTACTCAGAATTCTTTATCATCTTCACCATCAGTTATATACTTGACGGTAACAATTAATTACTACTTTCATTTTGGTTTGAAGGTAAAGAAATTTCGGACGTTCATTTTATTCAGATTATGAGTATACATGAAAAACCGTATCCCAGCCTAAACTTAATTGTTGTTTGTTCCAAACTAAAATGGGAATAACATAAAAAAATACTGGTCCAAAACAAGCTTGCCCTTATCTAGCAGACCATAAGGTTTTCTATAAAATAAACTAAAGTTTACCGTTTTAAAAAGGTAATGTAAGATTGCCAAGGGCTATAAGCGACGATGTCACCGTTTCGCTGAAAGATTATTTTTTTATTGCTTAGGTGGGTGGACGAGCTCACAGCTCACCTGTTACTGGAGCCCATAGACATCTGCAACGTAAATTCACCTCCCACCTTGAGATATAAGTTCTAAGGTCTCATGTATAGTTACAACGGCTGCCCCACCCTTCAAACCGAAATGCATTACTGCTTCACGGCAGAAATAGGCAGGGTGGTGGTACCTATCCCTGCAGACTCACAACAGGTTCTATCACCAGAAATTAGCATAGTTATTCTTGTGTACTATCTACTAATTAGTACTAATTAGTGGCAGCCTGCTGATTACTATTTCGTATGCATACATACGTATTGAACTTGAAATTTAACTATTTGTGCGTTAAAACAGTACGAATCCATGCTCGAGATACACCTACTAATATTTAGACAGGGTATTTTATTAATCCTTCCCTTAATTAATTTTGACCTGTTGACCATGCGATACTATATGTTCGTGCATGTCTCGTATTGTATTTACTATAGGTACAGTTCAGTGGCCAAATCGATTCGATCAAGATAAAACGGCAGTGGTGCGGTCGCATCTCGTCCTCACAATAACCTGAAGCAGTCTGCAACAGCTGGTGCACCGAACATATGAACGACATTATTTTTCTATATTGTATATCGTATAAATACATTTAGGTAAAACTGGTGTATTTTACATGGCCAATGATGCCTTTGATGCAGTTTACATTTTATTGGTGGTTCTGGTAAGTTCTGTTTTGGGAAGGGTCGAGCATAAATTCAAACTAAATTGTAGCTTTAACTTTATGTCTCAAGGTAGGATGAATGCACTCACATTGTCATTTCTAAGGGCTTCGATAACCACAACACTCCGGTGGGCTTTGAGCTCTTTGACACATCTATGTATGCAATAAGTAAAAATTGACTAGAAGTGATTGAGATCCGAGAAGATATGGTTGTAGATACTAAAATGACAATTTGAGGATTATACAGTATTTGTAAAAGAAATAGAAAAACGTTAACAAATAAATGTATAAAAAGACATGTAAGCCTTTTTACCTTTTTTTTTATTGTTGCAGGTCTAGAAAGTGACAACCACATCTTTATAATAATATAAAAATTTATTGTGTTTAAAAACTATACAATAAAATAATACTAAAAAACAAAAGTCATAAAATAAATCATCACATATAAAACATATTAAAAACATTTTTAACTATCTCTTCAATCTTTCTTACTATTAGTAGGTAGTGGGTACTTTCTGAATCGATTTATTATAATGCAGGATATTTCGGTGACACACTAATAATTAACGCATTTTTCAGTCTGTGACTTGAGTGAGTAGGGCGGTACCACGTATGATCCAAAAATCGGCTGGCATGTGCGTCGGTAGCAACACCGGTAGAACGAAGTTAGTGCTGTGCCCGGTAGTCGATAAAGTGCCTGCTCTCTCTGACGTCTTGTAGAGGGGCGCTTGGTAACGTGGGTCCGGTTTTGGCAATTCGAGGACCGGGTAGAACCACACCACTGGCAGCGGAGGATTCATTTGACCTATGTGTAATTTTAGTTCTTAGCAACGTTATAAATATATTAAAGCCTATACTAGTGGATATCGTAAGTATCTGCTTAGATTTTAAATGATTAGTTATTCAATAATTTTATCCTAGTAACCTCGAGGGGTTATTCTAGATTCACCGAACTAGTAAGTGAGCTCACGGGGCTCAAACCAGGAGTTTATTTAAATTTTTTTCCTGCTTAAGCTGATGGGCTTGAGATACCATATCAGCGTAACAGGGTGAGTAGGTGAGCTCACGGGGCTCAAACCTGACGTTGCTAACACGAACCCTAGCAAGAGCAATGCTTCGCAGAATCTACCACCGGATCGGAAACGCGACCCACTGACAAGATCTGGCGAGAAACTCAGTGAGTGGGCTGTGTCTATCGGTTAATTTGATCGTCGAGCCCTTCGTCGCAAGCGACGGGTTCGGTGAGGACGGTGACCGGTGCTTGTGGTACCTAAAAGCACCATTAATAGATCGAGAGGATCCGTAATGACGTGTTTTGCAGTACCATTTCCTTATAAAGTCATATAAATACAAACCTGCTAAAGCGTCGACAAGACAATTATTTTCGGTGTCCCATCGGCCTGCATCAATAAATAGACCGTGTATATTGACACCGTCCTCGGGCACTGTCAGCGCTCCAAACACATCGTCTCCATCCTAAAATTAACAACATTTTTAAAAATGTTTATGATGAAAAATATAATAATAACTTTGGTCCACTAAATTTCATAAATTTTAGACCATGCGAAAACAAATGCAGTTAAATCTATAGTTTTGTAGATAGGATACTCAGACAAACCCAAGCGGATACTTTAGTAATTTACTCGATAAAATGAGACGTACGTATCGTGTTTAACAAGAAGGTATCTATCTATATATGTATAACTTTTTCTTTGAAGGAACTAGTAGCTATTTGTACCAGGAAATAATCGAATTTTAAAATACGTCTATACTTACCTTTATGTTTTTCTTATTGTGCTTGTAAACATCGTCTTGCGATAAGAAAAACGGTATGGGTTTGAAGTCGTACATGAGTGCGTCTATTGGCACTCGATATCTTCGCGCGTAGGACTGTAACGCGCCCGTTAGCAGACCTTGAGGGAAAAATAACCCGGACACCCAACTACTGGGCTGTAGACCGTCAACTAACCATTTCTGAAATGGAACCAAAGGTTTTTACGAATTTATTTTACACTAGCGACCCGCCCTCGCTTCGCTTCGGAAACATTAAATTTTATTATTGATAGCTGAGTCCCGCGATGTTACCCGCGGCTATTGTCGTACCGCGGTACGTACGCGGTACGCGGTACAAAGTTAGTCTAAAAAAAGTAGCCTAAGTTACTCCTTATATCATCAGCTACCTATCAGTGAAAATCCCGTCAAAATCGATCCAGCCGTTCCAGAGATTAGCCCGGAACAAGCAGACAGACAGACAAAAATTGTAAAAAATGTTATTTTGGTGTATGTACCGTATATATATTCATATGCATGTAGTAAAAAGCGTTTATTTCAATATTACAAACAGTCACTCCAATTTTATTTATATGTATAGATTTGCACGCTTGCAGATTTTT